ATATTGTTCAAAAGTAATCTGAAATTTGCCCAAGTTTTTGAGTTGGCTTACTTTCGATATCTCTCTTTATACATGCATGTATTTATTTCTCTAGACTTAAACTAAAGCATTTAAAAAAAAAAATTGTTGTTTTGGTTTTTATAAATTTATTTTAAGTATAAACACACATGTAGGTGTTGGAACTGGAGGGGGGGGTCAAAGATAGACATCACATAGGTAATAAATAATGGGGAGTAGATTTAGCCCCCCCCTTTCAGCAGACATTTTGCAGTGTAATCGAATAAGGGTAAGTGGTAGTGTTTAAAAAAATGGTACTGAAAGAAGTTCAATCCCCCTCACATGAAATAGGATTTCATGTTTGGCCCCCCCTCTACACAATTTCCTTCTAACATATGAATGTAACAAGGTATTTTGTTATGACCCTAGAGTTTTATCTCCTTTTTAAAGACTTGATTTTCATGGCAATAATCTCTAGGGTCATAACAAAACTGAACTTCTTTCAGTACCATTTTTTCTTTATAAATTCTTGAGCCACCGCCTCCTAGGGAAAATTTTCTGGATCCACCTAACAAAAGAATTTCAATCGGACTTGGGCTGTGGACCTGAATATAACCGATAAATTTTAATTTATAAAGAAATTCGCTGTCATTTGAGTGTTTTAATGCAGGGAGAACATACTTTTGTGATATATGTATTGGAATGAGGTGGACGCGCTGGCGCGCCGAATACAATTAGCCATGTCAGTTACAGCTAATGAAAGTTTGACTGCAAATTTCATATCCCTAATTTGTGAAAAACGAATGATTCTTTATTTTCCTGATTATTTATAAATATGTGTTACTATAGGCAGAAATGTAAAAATACGCTCAAACATTGTTCTTATACACTTTAGCTAAAGCTTTTTCATACTCGTTAGTCACATTCTGTCAATAACAAATAAAAGCCGTTTGTCTGCACTTTGACCATCCCTGATGTTAGAAAAAAAGTGCGAAAGTCTACATTTTCTCGAGAATTTGCAGCATGTCTATTTTCAAACATGTGTTACTATAAATAGAAATAGAAACCTCTGCTTCACATTCTGTATTTCATATATGCTTTCTTTTACTTGCTGGTCACTGAATGCCAATAGCAGTAAAACATATTGTCTGCAATAGCTCATCCAAAATGTGAAAAAAGTACAAAAAACTACATTTTTCCGATAGTTTACAGTATGTCTATTTTTTAACTCATGTTACTATAAATAGAAATAGAAACCTCTGCTTCACATTCTGTATTTCGTATATGCTTTCTTTTACTTGTTGGTCTCTGAATGCCAATAGCAGTAAAAACATATTGTCTGCAATTGCTCATCCAAAATGAGAAAAAAGTACAAAAAACTCATTTTTTCGATAGTTTACAGTATGTCTATTCTTAAACTCATGTTACTATAAATAGAAATGGAAACCTCTGCTTCTCATTCTGTATTTGATATAAGGCTTTCTTTTACTTGTTGGTCACCATATGCCAATAGCAGTTGAAAAGAGACAGTCAGCAATTATTCATCCAAAATTTAGAAAAAAGTACAAAAAATGACATTACTCTGATTGTTTACATTAAGTCTATTTTTTAAACACATGTTACTATAAATAGAAATGGAAACCTCTGCTTCTCATTTTGTATTTGATATAATGCTTTCTTTTACTTGTTGGTCACTATATGCCAATAGCAGTGAAATACAGATAGTCAGCAATTATTCATCCAAAAATTTAGAAAAAAGTACAAAAAATGACATTTTTCCGATATTTTGCATCACGTCTATTTTTAAAACATGTGTTACTATAAATAGAATTGGAAACCTCTGTTTCTCATTCTGTATTTCGTATATGCTTTCTTTTACTTGTTGGTCACCATATGCCAATTAGCAGTGAAATACAGATAGTCAGCAATTATTCATCCAAAATTTTAGAAAAAAGTAAAAAAAAACGACATTTTCCCGATATTTTGCATTATTTCTATTTTTAAACACGTTTTACTATAAATAGAAATGGAAACCTTTGCTTATCATGCTGCATTCCATTGAATGTTCTTTTGTTCTTGTCAGTCACATAATATCAGTTACAGTTAGTGACAGTAAGTTGGTAAATTTTCCATCGGAAATTTGAGAATTAGCGGAAAATCAATATTAAACAGTTAATTTCATATGTGTTTATTTTTAGACATTTGTACTATTTATAGAGATGAGAGCCTGTCCTCAATAATATGTGAGATATTATACTATTCCTTGTTCTTATTGATGAAATATTGGAGAGATCCATATTTTTATTATTTATGATTCAGTGGAGCTTCAAAATGAGGAAAAATTGACATTTTTCATCATTTTATGAGACATGTCTATATTTAGGCATTTGAAGCTATAAATAGAAAACGGAAATCCCTGAAAATAATATGCATGGTAGTTATTGGTGTCCAGTCTCTGACATTAGCACATTGACTTTAACAGTATATTTCATAATTACCCAGCAATGGCATCTAAAACTCTGCCCAAATTTCATTTTTTGGATTTTTCTGAAATATGTCTATTTTTAGATACATGTTACTAAAAATAGCATTGAGATCCCACTCCAATTTTTTCATGAGTGGACACTACTAATACTGACGTTTGACGACACGCACATGATTTGAAAAATTTCCGTAGACAATTTTTTTTATTTAGCCTTAAATTTCTCAAAAAATGCAAAATTTTCCATTTTTCACATTTTGAGAAACTATGCTATTTTGCCGAACCATTTTCTAAGAGTGAGGTCAATTCTGGAATAACTGGTTATATGCCCTGTATTCTTTAACAATTGATGTTTTCTTATGATACAAAGATTTATATTTGAGTTCACTACATAAAGATAAAAATGCATTCATATTTCCTCAATTTTCATGCTTTTGTTTGGTCAAAAATGGCCGAAAATGGCCAAATTCAATGGATCCGTCTCCATGGCAACCGGGTGCACGTGGGAAACTTCTTACACCATATTTGCTGGTTTTGTACCAAGGTGCACCTGTGGTGCAATTTTCATCAAAATTGGAGACATGTCGTTTCCAAGATTTTTTGGTGCTTACAGAGAATGCATGTTAAACTTTTCTATGAAACTCAAAAATATTTAGCTTATAAAAATGGTGACAGAGAGAAGTTTGACACCGACTGGAATCTGTGGAATCGAATGTTTTCATAAAATATTATAAAATGAAAATGTCTCATCTATGTAAAGGAATTTTAAAACATGCCAACTCCCCCCTTTCTCCCCCCCCTCTCTCCCCTCTCTCTCTTCTCTCTCTCTATTTCATCTCTCTCTCTATATAAAACCAATCTGTAATATATTAAACTGTACATTATGAATTGTGAAACAGATTGTGTAAAATAAATAAAGAATTAAAAAAAAACATTCCGAGAAAATCTATATTATGTACATATTATTTTTATGGGCATGAAGTTTAATTTCATGGGTATTCTACTTTACATATGTATGTATTGGCTCTCTGCAAAGTTAGGCCAAGTTGAGTTCACGTACATAGATATTTTTCGTATGACAAGTTCGAAATTAGAATAAAAAGATGTATTGCTGCAAGAATATTAGAGAGGAAAAATACTATATGTGCACTTATAAAAGAGGGCTTCATATTTTAGCCGCTTTGGCACAGAGAGGGATGCACTAATTCATGATTATCGTTAATAAATGAATACAGTATGAAGGATTTTTTTATTTACTTGCTTCGTTCTGCCATTTTGTAAGGCCTTGAACACTGAGTCCGATTTCTTCATCTATATCAAAAGGGTTTTATACTATTAAATGTATCATTATGTACGTAAATACAATTCCATGTTTAATGTATTTTTTTTTCAATTCAACTTTTGAGCATCATCTTTTATTGAAAAAGGATATATAATTGGTATTTGTCACTGGGACCATTTACTTCAACTGTGTTGACCCGTGCACGGTCTATAGATGAACCCCGACAAGTATGTGCAGTTTTATTTGAGACCTAATCCTTTTAAATTTAAAAAGACTTATAAATTGATTAATAAATTTTAAAAAATATGACTAAAGTTTAGTCAGATCACGCTTATTTAATTTCAATTTTCTGTTTTACAAGCTTCATAACTTTGTATGCACGGATCTAGAGGGGGTTTTGGGGGTTGGAGGGCGGTCCAGACCCGACTTGGAAATTGCAGAGTTATAAATTAATAACTTGAACCAGGAAAAAGTGACCTTCGCCCCTATACAAAAGGTAGACCCCTTGAAACGAAAATATGTGTAAAGCTGGTATGAAATATTATAGCCATATTAGGTATTTAGTAGAAAACTAATCAACTACCTACCACACACCCCTACATTCCAACCACTCCCTACCCACCAAACGAAATAGGGTTTTTAAGTTTGGGCGAGATTAACTTTTTTTTTTTTGCTTGTTCAACAAATTTCTGCCTGTCTGATAAAAAAACAAGCTCAGTCAACACGGCAAGATATTTCTGCAACCAACGGAACATATTAAAGATTCTTATATCTAGAAACCCATTTCATAGATAAGTGGTTGAATATTTTTGCCTTATTAAAGAAATCATTTAATATTCAATTCAATGTCATTAATGTTTTTAATTGTTATTTTGGATAGTTTATAATAAAGACCAAGATTTATAGCCTATACTCATGTCTTACTGTTGTGTGATCTTATTTATAACATATATATTTTGAAATCTCTATGTACATGTATCATCTAAATCAGGTCATAAAGACTTTACTAGGCTTGTATTTGAATCTAAAATGCAATTAATCAGCGCAAAAACCTTTTTTCTATGTACATGTACTACACACAGGTGAGTACAACAAAGTTATTCCTGAAAGATGAGTACATAACCAAAGCATTATAATGATTTAAAATTACATGTACGTTTTAGTTTGATAATGAAGAAGGTGCTGTCTGACAAATTGCAGACTTTGTCTGAAGAAATGTAATAAAATAAATGTTCCTACCTGTTATTGAACTTTTATTATCATTCTCTTTTTCTTTCTGTTTCAATCAACACACTGCACATTTAGATGAAGAAAAAGCATATATTAGAAAAAGAACATAAAAAATAAATTGAATTTTTTTGACGGTAGTGAATTTGCCTTACTCTTTAAAACACAATTTCAAGCATGGTCTTCCTGTCTTCATTCATTGTCACGTGACTTTTATAATAGATAATTGTAAATTTTTGTCTGTCTCGCCCCTTTAAAATTATTGTTTAATCATAGCGTATATTTGTTATGAAGAAAATACTATTGATTAGTAAAGTGAATTGAACTGGTATCTCTATGACCTAACCTAAAAGTGATGACAATATTATATTGTTTATCGCTTAAATGTAATCAAATAACAAGTTAAAACACATTAAAAAAACAAAATTGTAGACATATATTCTAGATAAAGGAAGAAAACGTTAATATTAATTGGATATCTTCAATTCCAAATGTTAGTTATATAATTTTTGTTTGAGATTTCAAATAATGAAGTTCTGAAAATATAAACGTTGTTGAATAAGAGATGAAAAGAATAAATGGATTACACTCTCCTCCTCCAAAACCAAGCCTGGAGCAAAGATACATGACAGCAAGGACATAATGGTACGTTAATTAATGATCACTTTAAATGGATAATTGTGTTTTTCCCTTCAGATAAATATTTAAATGACAGTCTACTCTTTTCTATTGGGAAATCCAAGTACCGTTCGTTTTTTTTTGTTTGAATAAAATGACTCATACATGTATCATCTATTTATCAAAATAGAGATTTTGTATTAAATCAGACTAGTGTGTTTAACATGCTATGTTTTTTAAAAATTTGTTAAACCACTGCAAATTAAAAAGAAAAAAAATTGCATTTGAAGAAGTACATTTTGTGTCAGTTGAATTTGCCTAACTCCTAAAAACACAATTTCAAGCATGGTTTTCCTGTTTTCATTTATATATTTGTCACGTGATTTAAATAATAGATGATTGTAACTTTTGTTTTGTCTGTCTTGTCCCTTTCAAATTATTGTATAAACATAAACGTATAATTAATATGAAACCAATTATTTGATAAGTTTAGTCAATTACACGGGTATCTCAGTGACATAACCTTTAAGTGATTACAATGTAATACATTGTTTATGTCTTAAATGTACATCAAATAACAAGCTCAAACATATTAAAAAACAAAATTGAAAACTTGGATTAAGAAAGAAATCAATTAAAGTCAATTAAACTGGTATCTCATTGACCTAATAAGTTATTACAATATTATATTGTTTATCTCTTAAATGTTATCAAATAACAAGCTAAAACATATTAAGAAAACAAAATTGTAGAATTATATTCTAGATAAAGGAAGAAAAAGCTAGAATTAATTGGGTAATTTTAATTCCAGTTGTTAGTTGTATGATTTTTGTTTGAGATTTAAATAATGACTTTCTGAAATATAAAACTTGGTTGAATAAGAGATGAAAAATATGAATTGATTACACCCTCCACCTCCCACACCCAGTCTGGAGCAAAGATATACAGACAGCAAGGATATAATGGTAATTGAATTGACTGTCATTTAAAGTTATATTTTTTCACTTAAAATTGATTATTATGTTTTTTTTATTTTTTACATTCAGATTAACATTTTGGATGACAATCTAATCTTTTTCTACTGAGAAATCAAAGTCCAGTTCGTTTTCTTTCTTTGAATATAGAGACTCATACATATACCATATATTTATAAAAAATGAGGTTTTGTATTAAAATCAGACTAGTGTGTTTAACATACTATTTATTCAATTTATTTTCAAAGCCCGAGACAGTGTAAGACCATGTACAATGTTTTCCATCATGTGAACTTATCTGAATATTTCATGCAAAGCAGAAATATGCGAGATAATTTTGCAGTCAAATTCACAAAGAAATACTGGCCATCATAATGCAAACACTAACATGCACATTACATTCCATCGTGTTGGGGTTTAGCAAATGGCAACAAATTTAACTCATATTATTTTCAAATACCACAGGCACAAGCACATGTGAAATGAGTCATTAAATTATAGACATATTAATTTTACGCCTCTTACAATGTTGTAGGGTCAATGAAATTTTTATCAATATATGTAATAAAATAATTATCCTAACTGCTCTTGCATTCTCCCTGTTTTTTTTTTTTTTTTTTTTGGAAAAAGGTTTACCTTGAAATAATGAATATTCCATAAACTCAACCTAAACTCAAAAATAAAACTCACATGTACTTTGCTATGTCTATTCTGACATTTTTGCCTAACTCTACAATGCTACTAACGCAACGTAAGCAAGGTTTTCCTGTTTTACAATAATTTCTCTGTCACTTGAATACAATGAAACCCCTTAAAACTTACTTACGATTTTACAACTCGACACATTTCTTACCCATCAAATGCTTTATCATATGAATAAAATAAATCAAAACATAGTATATTAAATGTTCTAAATAACTCCACTTTTAAAAAGTAGAACGAAACTATGTTCGTTAACGTACATTTCATGCATGGTTATTGCAATAATGAAGGCGTTTGCCTATATAATGGTGGTGAACTTAAAATTATTCATTTTGTTTGTTTGCTGACAGATTCGACGATGTATCTGAACAAGCTGGTAAAAAAATCATGTTTTGGTTGTACTTTACTGTATAATGTAGGGGAATATAATCATGAAAGTTTAAATTCTGAAAATTTAATGAAATACATGAAGGTCTATGGTGATAAAAAACATGAGTCAAAACGATTTTATGAAACTGTAGATCTTATCTTTTATTCTATTCTATTAATGTGATTAAGTTTCTAAACACAAGTCTCCCAGTGTAGAAAGAGAACGTTCTGCTTCATTTCGAAATCTACGATCCTTATTTTTAACACAGGAATGTAAAATTCAAGTTATTCATTCTTTGTTATTAATTTTGTCCAATTACACAGGTAATCTGTAAAGAGGAACAAGTGTATTCTATAAACCTTGATTGTACTATCACATGATTCTAATATTATTTTATAAGAGTAGTGTTTCCAATTTATTATATAATTAATTCAACTGATTTTAGTTTTCCGTATCAAATTCTATAATGATGTTTTTTTCTTTATTTCCGCTTATGCAATAATAATAATTCAATATAAATCTTAATAGATTAAAAAAAATATATTCAAACAGCACTACACATAAAAATTAGAAAACCTTAATTTTTCACCATTGCATTAATGACAACATCTATTAATTTAAAAAAATAGATGAGTTTATTGAAGAAAGACAGCAGTGATTGTTATACGGGGGAAGGGCGACAACTTGCATAACTGCAGAGTAACTGTATAGCGAGCCTCTAGTGGGCGGGGAAAAGTAGCATCATATATAACGGGTTCTCAGACTAAACTTCTTTCTCTCTAACACCCAGCCCTCCAGATACAGTGGAAAGTTAAGACAAAGAATTTACAAAAAGAATTATTCTCGTCAAAAAATTCGACAAAACATTAACAGACCAATATGTTGAGGGCAAGAAAGCAATCCGTAGTGGAGAGGACGAAAGCGTCAACTGGTAGAGGAAAGCGCGGGTTGAGGGAAAAGATGGAAGTCCCGGCGACACCGGCCGCTAAAAAGCAGAAAGTTGACCCACCAGAAGACAAAGCAGAGGAAAACAACACGGGTGAGGAAGTTTTACTTAATTTAGAGGAAGCTTTTTCAGAATTACCAAATACAATAAATAGCGTTAATGATTGTTTGGGTTACAATGTTTCGGAAAATCTAAAGCAAAAAATAATAGCGGGAAATTATGTGGACTTGGCGCAATTATTAACAAATACAAATCTAACAGACTCTCAGGAAAAAAACAATTGTTTTCAAAAATGGGGAATTGGTAACTAAAACAAAAAATGAAAAGAAGATAGATGATATAGCTAAGTGGACGGACGCGTTCATAATATACATGGGGATTTACGTTACTGCTCATCCAGCAAAGACTGTGGATTTATTAAAGTATATGCAAACAGTAAGGACTGGGGCTATGAGGCACGGGGGGCTAGGCTGGAAAAGCTATGACGAACAGTATCGTCTCAAAAAGAGCAAAAATCCCACAAGTAGCTGGGGGGTAGTTGATTCAGAACTTTGGTTGCTTTGCATGCTTGGTAAAGAAACGGACATTCATGCATCAAGGCCAGCTGGCAGACAAAGCACGTCATCTTCGAAATGTTATGACTACAATTTTAAGGGTAGCTGTTTCAAATCCCCGTGTACCTACAATCATACTTGCATTAAGTGTAACGGAACACACCCGTTTTATAGCTGTCCTGTAAATAATTCTGGGGGATTTCGTACCCAAATGCAAAGCCAGCCTCAACAAAACCACACAGGTTTATTTCCCAGGTTTCCCTCTGCACGATTCAGCAGACCAAATATTAGAGCAAACAATACTAGATCAAACAGTCAACGATTTATGGGCCCTAGGTACAACGCCAATTAAATCTGATATTTTGGAAAAATTACTGATTGGGTATCCAAAAAAGAAAGTAGCAGTAGAATTGTATGAAGGTTTTACTAAGGGTTTCAAAATTCAATATTCAGGTCCGCGATTTCATGTGTTTACCAAAAATCTCATTTCGGCCAATGATTTCAAAGTAGAAATCAGGGAAAAAAAATATTTAAAGAAATTAAATTGGGAAGAATCATGGGTCCTTTTAAATATTTGCCAATTTCAAATTTGCGCATTTCACCAATTGGGGGAGTACCAAAATCGGATGGCTCAATTAGATTGATAACACATTTATCACACCCTCAGAAAACAAGCGTTAATGATTTTATCAGCAACGAGTTTGCTTGTGTAAAATATTCTTCGTTTGATAAAGTAATAGATATGATTGCAGATTTGGGAAATGGGGCTCTTATTGGAAAAATGGACATTAAATCAGCATTTCGCCTTTTACCGTTGAATCCGGGGGATTTTGATTTGTTTGGGTTTTATTTTGAAGATCGATACTTTGTTGATAAATGCCTTCCTATGGGTTGTTCAGAAAGTT